ATAAAAGATGAAAAAACCTGCCTGACTGGCTGTCCCGGTCACTTTCTACAGCCTCACACCCTTCCTCACACCCAGGAAGGCTGGGTCCTGTGTCCTACATCTGAAGGCTGAGTAGTGAACAAGGTCAGCAAACCTGTATTTGTCCCTGCTGAGTGTGCCTGCAAATAGGAAAAACTAAGTGGACAGATTAATTTTTCATTTGCTCAGCCTATGACTACTTCAGAGGTCTTACACTGGAATGACAAGTTTTCAGGAGCAGAAAATATTGGGAGAGCTGACAAGATCATGGGTTTTTCAAGGTGGCATTAAACATGGTACGCACAGAACTCATTCACAGGACTTGAGGCAGGACCCTGCAGGCTGGGATGATGCACAGGGAAGGGGAAAAGAGGGGATGTCTTGTTCCAAACAGGAAGAGGGCTGCTCTGCACATCCTGAGATGTTTCTGTGATGTGCCATGATTGGTATCCCTGTGGACCAACAGGCAGCTATGTTTCTTACTACTTTTAAGCAGGACCAAGCTGCTTTTACATCCTTTAACTGGCTTTGGCAGTTTTAATTTTAATTGTATATTGATCCATTTAAAAACTAATGTCTCAGCAGCCCTTTGATCCCTATGAGTCTCTCCAGCTAAAGCCCATTTAAGGTTCCTGCCTGGTCCCTCTTCCCAGTCTAGGGAATATGCTGACCTTTCTCTTGTCTGGAGGAAACACCTCAACCCCTTTTTATTCCTGCAGTGGAGCTGCCTGAAGGACCAGAACTGGGAGAGGTAAGAGAGGCAAGAGGAATTGCCTTATTGCGAGGGAAGTTTGCTGTGTGTTTGGTAGGAAGTATGCCTCCAGGCCTCCCAGAACTCTTTGATACCCTGTGTTCCCATCCCTCCCTCTACCCAAGGCCTGGAGAAGGATTGCTAGTTCAGCTCAGGAGCCTCGGGCAGCACAACGCTGCACACAGCCGTGCCTTGAGACTCGGCCCTGTGCCTTATCTGCAGTTCTGACACATAATACAGAAACAGCCTCCCACAGCATCCAGACTTCAACTCCTTCAGTGGGCTTTTGGCAGCTGCCTCACAGATCCTCCCAGCAGTTCCCGAGTGCCATCTGTTGACTCGATAGCGGTCATGCAAAAAATGGAGAGGATCCAGGATAAGGCTGGGTGAAGTGCACTTGGGAAAAGTGGCAGCATGGGACTGAGTGGCTCTGGAGGAGTTTCACAGAGTGCAAAAGGAAAAGGAGAGAGGATTTCAAGCCAAAGCAGTTCCTACTGGTGGAAGTGCTGGTGAAGGGATGCCAGGAATGTTTATCAGGGCAGGCAAGTTTGCATTTTTTGAAGAATCAGATTCTTTCCTTCAGTCTTTGTGTAAAGCAGAGAGATAGAGCCTTACTGATAAAATATGGGGCAAAACTTCGTGCCAGCTGCTGAGTGCTGTCCTGGGGCAGGGTGATGGCAGACTCCTGTCAGGGATGGTTCTTTGTGCCAAAACTGAAAGGCCTTGCAGCACGCAATTAGATAAAGGAACTATTTCACTGTCACAAGCACAAAATGGAGATGTCATTGCCCTGCTTTCCTTCCTTGGCCCCAGAAAATTCTCCAGCAAACTTTGGCCTGAGTGGAGAGTGAGGACTCCAAGTAGGCAGCTGGAGGCTATGCTTAAGGACAGTCAGCTGAGCCTCTGTGTAGCACAGCCACAGCAAGGCTTTCCTGAAGGAATCTTCTGTCCACCCCAGGGACTGCTCCCCTGGGGGCAGCCCGAGGTTAGCAAGAGTTGACAGATCCATGAAGCAGAAACCACAAAGCCAACCTGGGTACACTTCATGTGCCCACTGTGCCGAGCAGTTTCAGAAATGTCACCAAACAGAGCACAAGAGAGCCCAGAATTAGACCATCTCAACTATGAAAGGTCTTCTGGGATTTTAAATAATAAAGAAATTAACTCTAGGTGTGGTGTACAAATTTCTGAGTGAGTAATGAAGCTGGTTTCTCCAGATGTCCTTCCTGTTGCACATGGATGCAGGATACACTTGCTATCTGAAGTACTCTGTCAAGCTGCTGCATGTGGGAAGTTCTGCCGCCAATGGCTGGAGAGAGCAGGATTGGTGTCCTGCAGCCACCCAGGTGGGTGTGTTGGTGTGAACAGGATCCAGTGTGTCCTGAACTCCTGCAGGACTCCAAAAATGTCATGCATCCAGCACACCTTGCTCACTAGAGCAGGAGACTAGGACCCTTCTCTGGCTCTTCTCCTTCCCAAAAGCAAACCTCTGGGTATTGGAATCCCTGGTACCTGAATGATGGTCCGGAAGGATTGTCCATAGCTTGATGTAGGCACAGACCTCATTGGAAGGCAGTGCCAGTTTTGGGATTGACACTTCACTTTAGAGAAAATCAGGGGTTTTGACAGCTTTTTACCAGGGACACCTGTGGTATTACTGCAGCCTTTTCTGGACACAGGGCTGGAAAAAAATTAAATGTATATGTATATTCATAATTCCATAAATCTCGGCACATTTATAGGGTTGTATTTTCTCCACTGACTGTCCCAAGGGCACAAGCACGTCCCCAAACCAGCCTGTTTTGCCTCACTGCTGCAGCTGCAGGTGCTGCTCCCTTGGCTGGGCCCCTTTGCCCCTGGGTTTCTGTGCCTGCAGTGTTCACTGAGGGTTCCCATTGATTTCAGATGATGATGCAGAAGTAGATGCTTGTCATTTGTGCCACTCAGACATGGTAAAGGACAGCGGAGACATGTCGCTCTTTGTATTCAGGTCAGGAGCAGCCAAGACTGCCCTGGAGGGAAATGCATCTCTCCAGCAACATCAGCAAAGGCAAAGGTATTTTAGGGATTTTCAACCCTGTTCATGGCACTGCTCATTGCTGGAAGAGCTTGGCCACACTGCCAGGAATGGCAGGGATATAGGATGCCATGGCTGTGAAGTCAGGAGAAACTTCTTGTGAGCACTTGGCTTAAGCCTTCATAATTTGAGCATGACATGGGCAGCACAATGGACCCAGCTGCATATGGTGTTCACCCTGCACTGCACACAGAACCTGGCCTTGGAGTTTGGGGTAATGGTTTCTGTTTCAATCTGAACCTTGGCATCAACACAGTGTGCAGTGTCCTTGAGGTGAGAGACAAGACCACCACACAAACAAGATAACGCACAGGATAATGAGCTGGGGTCCCTCACCCCAAAAGGCCACGCAAGGACTTGCACTCGCTTCCTTCAGGGTGGCCTTTTGGCAGCTGTCACTTTGTTTTCTTGCCTTGCCTGGCTGCCAGCAGGCACGGGGAGCAAACAAGCCGTACCGCACTGCAGGGGGGATGCTGGGGGGAGTGCATTTTAGTGCTGGGGTTTACATCCCTCACTGGGACAGATTGTGGTGGCTGGCTCAGAACAAGGTGCCTCGCAGGAGGCAGATAACAAACAGAAGTGCAGGCAGTGCTGGATGGTACCTATGCTGGTGAGGGCTTCAGAGTTTCCATTAACACTGACTCCCTGACTCCACCCAGTCCCTGAGTGACCTTGTCCCTGTGGCCACCAGCCCAGCTAAAAATGGGATATCACTCTACCCTCTGAAGAGAGTGTGCTAGCTTGGAAAACCCAGGCAGTGCCATCCTACTGTTCCCCTGCGTTCCTAGGCCAAGGTAAAGCTCCACATGACTCTGCATCTCCTGCATATCTGAGTCCACCAAAAACCTCTTGACAAGCACTTGGGCTCTAGCAAAGCTCTTTTTCCCAATTTTCTGCCCACAGATGAGTCTTCATTTCCTTCATCAAGCCTGAAGCCAGAAGCACTGCCTTGGAAATTATTTCCATTTCCTTTCATCATTGAGTAGCTACTAATTAAAAAAGGTCAGTCTGTCCCTCTAAGAGCTTTTACTAAGCTGTTCTTCCAGCTCCTTAGTGCCTTAGCTGTGATGTCCAAGTCATGCGCAAAGAAGGGACCAGATTCTGAGTTCTGCAAAGTCTTTGGCAGATCTCCCTTAAACTACTCCAGGTTTCAGGTCAATCTTCTCAGATTTTGTGAGGAGCTGACCTGCTCAAATGTCAGTTGACAGCAGTGGACTAGCTTGGTTTTTTTACCATATGAACATAGCAGGGCCCACATTAAGGTGGGGCTGTGCATCAGTCCTTGGGCAACAAAACATTCCCTGGTGTGCTTCCATCTCCTGTTTGCCTCACACTCAATCTGTGTCCCTCAGGATGAAGGGAGAGGACAGCCAGTCTGTCCTGAGGGAGAATGTAGCACATGGCCAGGACACATGGCTGAGGTTTGTTCAGCCTTGAGGAGACTCACTGGGGTCTGCAGTGGGGGGCAGCTCCGATCTCTGATCTCTGCCCAGGAACAGGAGACGAGGGAATAGCTGGAGCTGTGTCATGGGAGGGTAAGGCAGGATGTCAGCCCCAGAGGGTGGTCAGGCTCTGAGCAGGCTTCCCAGGGAATGGTCATGGTTCCAAAGCTGCCAGAGCTCAAGGAGGGTTTGAACCATGCTTTCAGGCACAGGGTGGGATTGTTGTGGTGTCTGGGGAGAGCCAGGAGTTGGGCTGGATGATCCTGTGGGTTCCTTCCAACTCAGGATATCCTATTGTGGAGGTAAGGGTTCATGTGGTGACTCAAGATGCAGCAGCTGAATGCTGCTCCCTCAAAGCCCTGCTCCTACTTGTGACTCTCCTGAGGGTTGTTTTGGCAGCTTTCAGACAGGGGCTTATAGCAGTCCCTCTGCTTTGCCTGTGTGCTTCCTGCTAGTCCTGCTGCCAGCTGGTGATGCCCACCCACAGCACTCTTCTGCTCTTTCCTGAAAGAAAGGCCCACTTTTAACAGTGGGGAAATCCTTCCTTTCAGGAAATACTGAAATTAATTAGAAAAAGGCAAATCTGATCCATGTTTTCCCATGCAGGCTCATGCACACACACTCACAAGACATCCAGGACCCCTGATATTTCCCGGCCCACCAGGCGTGGAGCCAGTCATGCATAACAAACAACACGACCCCGTGAATGGCCACGCAGCGAAGCCAAGCTGTTTGCCTGATCCATCCGTCATTGTTCACCCGGCTTTTCCCACTTTGAACGAGGGTTTGTGGCATCAGGAAGTTAAAAGGAGTCAGGAGGGGGGGAAAAGGGGGAGTGTTTCTTTTAAAAAGAGAGTGAGATTGGAGAGGAGGACACAGGCACTCCAAACCCTGTCTGTGCTTGGTATATTAGGCAGCCAGTGCTCTTGGCTGGGAGCCCAGACGAGGCTTTTGTAATCAAAACATGATCTTGTATGCTGTGCAACCAGTGCTGAGAAAGGCCGTCTGATGGCTCTCCTCTTTTAGCTCTGCTCTGGAATCCGCCGGGCTCCGCCGCCGATGTCCAACATGCACCGAGCTGTGAGTGCTGCCTGCGCGGGGCCTGGGAGGGGCGGGGGCGCTGGGGTCCCTCACCCCAAAAGGCCACGCAAGGACTTGCACTCGCTTCCTTCAGGGTGGCCTTTCGGCGGCTGTCGCTTTGTTTTCTTGCCTCGCCTGGCTGCCAGCAGGCACGGGGAGCAAACAAGCCGTACCGCACCGGGAGGGGGGTGCTGGGGGGAGTGCATTTTAGTGCCGGGGTTTACATCCCTCGCCGGGACAGATTGTGGTGGCTGGCTCAGAACAAGGTGCCTCCCAGGAGGCAGATAACAAACAGAAACGCAGGCAGTGCTGGATGGTACCTATGCTGGTGAGGGCTTCAGCCGCAGCTGTCAAGGAAGAGGACATTTCTTAAAAAGAGCGGATATATTTGCTTACGCAGAAGAGTGTTAGTACGGGCCGCTCCTGTCCCCTTTCCCTCCCCCCACCTCCTGCCATTCACACTTTCCTAACCCTGCTGTCTCCGAGGTCTTGCTTGTAGAAGCAGGCGATCGTAGAAGTGTGTGCGAAAACACTGCACGCAGAGACAGTCTGGGGTGAGGCGTCCCTCCAGCCCCCAAGGAGCTGCGTAGCCAGTGTGTGTGCCACTTAGGAGAGGGGCTGTGACACAACGGGATGTCGTCATTTAACTGAAGCCTAAAGCCGATAGCTTTCAATTTTCTCCTTTTGTGACATTTTAATTTGGAATAGAATGAGGCCTCTCGTTCCGTGGCTATGCCCTGCTGTTGGGGAGGCTTTGGGTTCAGCTGATTGCTGATTCAAAGCCATCGCACGTTTGTTCTGCCAAAGCCATTTATAACTCTCTGTCGCGGTGACATACGGGCACCTTGGCTCCCCGGAAGAGCTTTACTCTGGGGAGGGCACGGTGGAGCCACTTTCCATCCTGAGCATCAGCTCCAGCACTGGTCTGGGGCAGCGGGTTCGTTCCAGAAACAGAGGAGAAGGCACGGCCCCCTGTTATCGGCTGGCTCGGGGCGGCAGCTGACGAGCAAACGCTGACTGGGCTGAAGCGGACAATGGGTGAGCCCCTGGGAGCTGAGCGTGGGCTCCACACGCTGCCCAGTGCTTCGGCCGCGGGGCCCGGGTGTGCGGGTGAGCGACCCCTCCCGCCCACAGCTCCCAGCTTTTGCTGAAATAGGTTGTGCAGAGAGAAACACCTTAATGGCATCGTGAACAAAGGGGAAGAGAAGTGCTGAACACCAGCAAACTTTCCTTCCAGTGACTTGTTTCCAGCTGGAAATGGAAGGACCCCCTCCTCCCCCACCCTCCCCCCGCCCCCGGCACCAGCCGTCTTGCAGCGTAGACAAAAATGCTGACAAATGGGCAGAGGTAGAACAGCCTGACAGGCCTTTTCATTTTTTGCTTTTAAAAGAGAAGAGCACAAATACAACCTCTGCAGGAATTTAAAAATTTTTCTCAAGCCGGCAGCTCTGCCAGTTCTCCTTCAAAAGAATCTAAAGATGAAAGGGGTGTGTTTGAGGGCATGCACCACTTTGATCCCACCCTCAGCAGCCAACACCCCAGAGCTCGGTAAACAGTGAACCTGCCAATTTAATGCTCCCAGAACAGCTTCTATTCAAGTAAACACCGAATTTGGCTTTAATCAGCCTTGCAAAATGCCCATGGAACTATATCCACCCACGAAAGCAATCTGCTCACCTGTCACATACTTGATGATGAATGGCAATGGAAATACCATTTGTTTCCCACAGATACTGACAAAATCCCATTGTCCAGTAGAAGAATGTGTGGAGGCAGTTTAAATGTTCTTGTCTCACCGGGACACAGATGTGTGCCTGTACCCCTGTGTCCTGGCGGAGCAGCCCTTGGCAGGGGCTGTTAGATCAAATACCCGTCATGGGGGATGCCAGTGGGGATGGGCTGGTGCAGGAGCTGTGGTCTGTGTCATGAGCAGGTTCTGCTGCCTTTCCCTCACTGATGTCTGACACCCAGCACGCCTCCTCTGTGCCCAAGAACACACAAAGGTGAGGGTCACGTACTGAATGCAGATAAGCAGGATGTTAACTCTGGAGCCCACTGACAGCCATCAAAGTGGGGCAGTGGCGCTTTGCTCAAACTATCTCATTGCTGAACAAAAATTGTAAGAAAGGGAAAGGTGAATTCTGTCAGGAAAACGTCAGGCAGAAGTGATGGGGAAAGACTCTTTCACTTCCCATCCTATCCAGACAGAAGGAACAGGTTTCTTCCTGTTGGTAAGATGACTGAGAAGAGCTTTTCTCCTTGTTTTTCCAGGATACTGCTGTGGATGATGCTGTGTTAAGGAAGAAAGAGCAGAAAGATGTTGAACTTGATAAGAAAATCTTGGCTTTGCGGAAAAAAAACGAAGCGCTGATACGAAGGTACCAGGTGAGTCTGCAGGTCCTTACCTTCCCCAGCTCTGATTTGGGGTCCTCAACTCACAGTGTAAAGAAGATTGGAAGATTGTCAGCACAGTCAGAATGACTATGTTGCACAGATACCATGTTTATACTGGAAACACTCAGAGCAGGTGGGCAGAGCTCTGCCTTTAGCTTGAACTTTACCTTAGCCTTTAACTACAAGTCTTGAGTTGCTTCGAAGAACAGACACTGACACAGACACTGCTGCAGCATCTCCTTGTCCACTGCCACCTTCCTCAGTCTTCATCCCATAATTGGGACACAAGTTGGGACCTACTTCCTCTTAGAGGTGGAGGTGGGTCTGTTTAGCAGAATTAAACAGGAAAATGAACAGCATCCAGGTACAGGCTTGTGATAAGGGGATGTCTGTGTTTCAGGAAATAGAAGAGGACAAAAAGCGAGCGGAACAGGGGGGAATGGCTGTTACCTCCAGGAGGCCCAAGCAGGATGGACTCACTATTACCATCACCAAAGCTCACAATGTAAGTGGTGCCTCTCCTTCACCACGGGCCAGCTCTCACTCCAGTTCTGCTGCTGCAAAGTAGCGTTTCTGAGAGAGACCATCCACAACAAAGTTCCTTGAGGCACAGGAAATAGATTCTAAGCCCTGAAAAGTGTGGGTAAATTCTGCAGAAGTGTGTGATCAGAATGATTTTAGGTGCTGCACATAAGTTTCCAGCCATGCCCAGGCACCTCTACCCATGCACAAAGAGATAACTGGCAGATGACTGGCTGTGTGAACAGGCACACTCGGCCCTGGACAGGTCCCAGGTGTCAGCATCACTGCAACTATGTAGACAGAGTGTATCAGGTGTATGTGTGTGTGTGTCACTGGAGGCATCAGGAGTGCCTCTGAGAATGCCATAGGTTGGGAAAACTTATGGTCTCCTTAGGCTTTGGGAGTGAGGAAAGCAAGTGGCCCTGGGCCAGAGGCTGTGAGTCCCAGGTTTCCTTCCTAACTGGACCAAATCTGATAAGCTCTGTCCACCCATCCTGGCAGCATGGGGCTTGGGAAGCCAGTCCTGCCTTAACCCCTTGGTGAACTCCTCTGCCAGAGCTCATGCAGAGCCTGCTGAGCCAGCCCACCCTGCTTTCAGCACTCCGGGTTGTTGGATCCAGGCCAGTGCATTGCTCCCTTCCCACCCCGGCACGGCCCTCGCCTCTCTCAGGGTGCGCTGCTGCACACATTTTTCTCTCATACAGGACCTGAAAGATGCAATTACCCAGACTGAACACTATGGACAAGATAGCCCAGCCCTCTCGATGGTGAGCACCACCCTCAGCCATCCACTTGGCTTCCAAGGCCACCTTCAGCAGGATTTAGGCTTTCCCAAGCTAACTCAGTGTGCTGCACAAAGAGATGAGGATGGCATTTCTTTCCCATAACTCTGGCATTTTAGTCTGAAATGTCAGATTTGTAAGTGCGAAGGATTTTTCAGCCCTGCTCTTTGTGGGTTTTGCTGCTGAGCAGACAACAAGCCCCTTGTTCCTCAGGATTGTCACAGCAGTGTGCTGGGCACAGAGAACTTCCTGGGGGCAAGGGCTGTCTGTTCTGTAGCTGCCTCCCCGCTTGTGTGCAGGTGTGTTTGGGGAAGGCAGTCACGTCCCTGGGTCAAGGGCCTGGATTTGCTAATGGAAGTGGTTCGTTTTCCAGGACAAAAGGGTGGTGAGTGAGAAATGGGGAAGCCCCTGTCCTACAAGCCCTGCATTTGGCATTGGCAGTGAGGAAGAGGAGGAGGAGGAGGAAGCAGATCATATGTTCACATTCAGGATGGGGAAGAGGATGCAGCTGGCTGTTACCATGGACAACAAAGCAAAGGTGAGTAGGGAAGAGGATTGCTCTTATACTGCAGCCTCTTGACTTACAAAGGTGCTTCTGTTCTGCCTCTCACTTGAGCTTTCTGTCCAGCATACCACATCCAAAGGGAATTATTCCCTTACTGTTGGTTTCCTCTCATTTTGCAGTTCTTCAGCACAACGTCAGAGCTACCACATGCTTTCCTCTCTATAGCTGATTCCCAGGCATCAGCCCTCAGGCCTTGCTAACCCCCTCAGCAACACCCTCCAGCCAGCCAGGTGGAATCAATTCCCTTGCTGAGGGATCAGTCACCTTACTGCCCTCCTGGGCCACTCTGGTGTTAAACTGTGTTGCTGTGCCTGGAAAGAGGGACTTGCTTGGTGACACTGGTGTGACTGAAGGAGGCACCACCATCCTTCCTGTGACCACTGCAAGGTCCCAGCACCAGAGATCCTTGGCTGTGCAGAAAACCACTCACATCCAATCCTCAATAACCTAAATCATAGTCAAGCAAGACTCCCTAAAGAAAAGCCAGCTGGAAAGTTTCACAAACTGGACAGAAGTCCAGGGGTTTTCTTTGTTCCCCTGTTCTTTTTCCTGGCACACCTCAGATAAGTATTTTTAACACTGCCTCTGCAATCTGGGGCATGCCTCAGACATGAGATGGACACATCTCACCTTACAGTGACTCTGTATGGGGAGTAGTGCAGTTTTGACTAAGAGCTGGTGCCAGAGTCCCAGATCTCAGGCAGGGAATGACCCAGGACAAGCCCTGTGGAGGGGCGGAGTTGGCTCTGCCAGGCACTGTGGCTGTAAACCTGCTCTCTGTCCCTGTTGGCTCTGCATGGGTGCTCTCCTCATATGACGTCTCTCACTCTGGGAGTTGGGGCACCAAGGACCAGGATTTCCCAATGTGGGACAAGCAGGCTGTGAGTCCACCCAGACTGTTAAAACAGGAAACAAGGAAACAAGACACATGTCAGAAGACACATTGAGCAGAATGTGCCTTTAGGTGAGGCAGCTTAGCCAGAAGCAAAATGGGTAGGGCGGGAGGGAAGAAAGAAGGGAAGGAGTGGTAAAGGGTATTACACAGAAAATCTGGTGGTCTCCCAGCCTGGATGTGTCTAGCTACCACATCTCTCTTAAATAGCTGTTTTCTGTATTTCCTCTGAGTTTTCCTTGCCATCTGCTCAATAAATGCAGGGTTTAAAGGCTTTGCCAACACATCAGCCTTCACACCATGCCTTTTAACATCCAGTAGCCCAGGGATGGTGTCACCTCCCTGTAATCCAGTGATGTTCTTTGTGGCTTCTGTTGTGCTCAAGGTGTTTGGGCACAAGGTTCTTTGTGTTTGGTCTCATGAGGGACTTTCTCAGAGAGCAAGTGATGAAGTCACCTTCAAATATCCTTCCAGTGCCAGACCTCCCTGGCAAGAGGTGTCTGTGACCCTGTTACATGTCTAAAGGATGAGCCATCAACACCTAAACACTGAAAAGCTCTAGGGAACAGCTGTTGATTTAAGATGAATAAATGCTTGATGTACAACTTGTGGATTAATAGCTTGCTGTTGCCTTCTAAACCATCTCTGGGCTTACTTTTTTAATGAAAAAAAAAATATGTTAACTAGAATGCCAAACACCTCGTACCAGTAGTCTGGGTAGGGCATAGCCAGGCCATTCTCCAGTTCAGGCTCTGACCTCAGCAGTACAGCCTAGAATTACTGAACCCAAAAGCAGAGCTAGAAATCCCCAAGGGAATACATAACAAGGTTCCCACCACATATATTCATCTGGGGCTGACAGGACAGGCAGAGTCAGACCACTCCTCTCCCCTGCATCAAGCTGACTCAAGAACTATCTCTGCTGAAACAGCAAAATCATACAGATGTGAAAGATGAATAAACAAGAGACTGAGGTTCTGCTGCTGGAAATACTCCAGTGTCTCCTAAAACATTTATCATGTGTTAGGAAGCCCGATGACTGAGAAGCAGTAAAAAAGGTCATGCTGCTGGAGGCTGTGAACAGCAAGGCTCTCTCCTTGCTAACATCTGCACTCCTGGCAGAGCCAGGGGAAAATGAGGTTAATGTGAGGCTTCTTGGTATCACATGTCATAGCAAAGACCCTGATTGCATGTCTTCCTTACAAATCAGAGGTCTGGGTGTGCTTTTTGTTTTTAAAAACAATTTTGTAGCAACAAAGAGTTCCTAAGTTTCACTAAAGTTTCCTTGGAGATTTTGAGTACCTTTTAAATCGAGACTCCAGTAAATGTGAAAGCCCAGGGTAAAAGCAGAATAAAATGCACCATCCTTTAGACAGGGAAGCTGCTGAAGTTCCCTCATCCCTGGTGAAGTTGAGGAGACTTCATATGGAGAAGAGAAAAGAAAAAGATCAGCGATAACAATGGATATAACTTATTAAGTCTCTCATTTCCTTGTAAGGCAAAAATAAAAAGGCACATGACTGGCTTGAAAGATGATACTGTTAAATGAGAAAAAGTATGAGTATATTTTTGTACAAAAGATGTGCTCATTTTGTGGAATTGATGGCTGAGGGCACTGGCAGGACATAATCCAGCAAAAAAGATCATTAACAAAATAAGAAACAGATGTAAATCCATGTAGTGAAGTCATGACACTAATACAGACAGCTGTGAATAATATCTGAGAGGGGTAAACTGCCCTTGCTCAAGGAGCTTATATATCAGGTTTCTTAAGTATTCCACTGCTGAATAAATAATTCCAGAAATACAAACACTCAATGACTATGAAACGATGAATTATCAAGTGCTAATAAACTTCAGGGGAGTAACTGCTATGTGGACAAGTTTGAAGAGAAGAAACCCCACTGTTCTCCTTCTCCTCCACCTTCTAGGCTTATGCTGTAAGGTAGCCTCATATTTTATAGGGACATGTTGTATGAGGAGGGGACAACCTCACATTTGTTTCTAAGACACAGACACAAGCTTAAAATAAAACCATCCTTCAGTGTTCCTGCTGCACATTATCTGAGCAGGGTAAATCCCACCATGCTGATGTGCTCAGCTAAACACACCTCTGTAATATCCCTTAGAGTGGAGTGGCAGTGTTATAAGCTAAGGGGACTGACTGTTTGGCTCAATTTCTGTTCTGCCAGCCCAAAATCCTTTGCACTTTGGGATGGCCACTCTCCTAGGAGGGCTAATGGAGGTGTCCTTAACTCAGCCTGTGCCTTCCAGGGCAAGAGGATCGTCAGTGAGAAACGCACCGAGAGCTTCCCTGGCCCGGGCAGAGTGCCAGACCTGAGTGAGGAGGAGATGGACCATTTGGTGGCTTTCCGACGGGGAAGGAGGATGCAGATTGCCATCACCATGGATAACAAGGAAAAGGTAAGTACAATGCTAGTGACTGGCCTGTAACCTTCCCATGGTATCCACTTCTGCTGGCATGAGGAGGGCCTAGGCACAGGATGTTGGGAGACACTGTATGTTAATAGTGCAGCTTATCTCCATATCTCTGCTTTCCATCCCTGTGAAAGAAGAAAGCCACGAGCTTTTCCCTCCCCTGTGATCCTAGCTAAAGCTAGAAGCCTCCTAAACACACTGTTCATAAACAGATGCTGATTTGGAAGGATTGATGAAAGCACTGCCAGATATGGGGCATGAATCTCACCTTGTCTTTTACCAGCTTTTCTTTGAAGCTACACAGCAGACTGGGACAGGAGCAGTGTCCTCCTGACTCACTGCACGACTTAAATGTTAACAGAGCTGGGCAATATCTGCCTCTGAAACACATCCTGCTGTGCCTGGCCATCACCTGCTGAGTGAGCTGGCTGAACTTTGTTAATCTTTGAAACATATTTCAAATACTTCTTTACAAATACCTTTCTCTTTACACACACAGAGGCATGTGCTATTTTCCTCTTTGGAAGCTTTCACAGATAAGAAAAAAATGCCTGCAGCAAACAGGGTCAGAGCAAAAGACTGTGTGGAAAACAACACTTGGTGTAGCTACCAAACACACCCAGGAATGATGGGAGACATCTGCAGCCCCTCTCTGGAATAATGCCAACCATTTGCTGCTACTACCCACACTCATCTTCAGCTTCTCCTCTTCCCAGGGCTTACCTAGGCTCCAGGAGCTCAGGTGCTCCTTTCTCATGGCTGTCAAGCAGCATTTTGAATGCCATAAACCTCAAATGAGCTGCCTGATTGAGCCACTGGTAACCTCAGAAGTCCCCATGACAGACATTGCTGCTTCAGTCTAGGCGCCACCAATATTCCTGGATGTAATGGGATTGACCTGACTCTGCTGTTTCTGCTCTTATGCTTGTCAAATGTACTTCTGTAATGTGCCAGGCAAGTATCTTCTTCTGCTCTCTGCTGGGCCTGTTGTCTCTGAGGTCATCAAGGTTGGGGCTGTACAAGGAGAGAGCAGCAGGAGGAGTGCCTGGATGCTGGCTTTAGATCCTGTGCTCTCTTAAATGTATGCACTGCCCTGGAAGGTCATCTCTTATCTTTCATTATGGAATATGAAATTGGAGGCTGAGCATCCATGTATATGTTTTTGGCAATACCTTGCTCATACTGGCCTCAAAACATCTGGATTCAGAGCATATGAGGGTGGGCCTAAGGCTGCACTGGCTAAAGCCATAGAATCATCGAAGCTTCGAATCCCAGCCTTGTTCAGCCTTGTTCCCTGACAGCTCCATTTGCTGTTCCTGCATCAGAGGAAGTAGTGAATAGATCATTCCCAGGTCACTTCCCAAAGCACAAATGATTTTATTGACCTGTTTCACGTCTCCCTTCAGCAGTCTCACATAACTTAATAGATTGCCCCTATTTAGACTTGTCTGCTGAGGACTGTTCTTTATTTCCGATCATTCTCATTGTCCTCACTTGTGCTTTTGTTATTTTTACCATATTCTTCCAGTACAAGTAGACCAGAACTGCACATGGCATTCCAGCTGTGGGCTCTCCAGGATGTACTCAGTGACATAACAATGTTCTGGCTTGTTCTCTATTCTTCTCCCAACAAGTTTGCATTTTCTTTGCTTTTTTTTTTTTTTTTTCCCTAAATAATTGAGCTAACATTTTCAGAGAACTAGTCACAGTAACACCAACATTTCATTCCTGACTGTTAATCATAGCTCAGGATTCATTACTCTGTGTGTGTATACAAGAAGGGACATTTTTCTCTGTGTGAGTTATTTTCTATTACTGATATTGAATTTCAGCTGTAATTTTATGATGCAGGCATTCAGTGTCAAGAGATCTTTCACAGCTCTTTCCGGTCAAATTACATTCTTTGCCCTGGATGATTTAGCATCATCAGCAAACTGTCATCCCTCTCTTCAGCTCCTTTTCCAGACCATTTATGAGCATGTTGAACAGCACATGTTCCAGTGGCATACTCCTGCTAATCCTGCCACAGAAACCACCATTTTCTTGCCACTTTTTATTTTCTATCCTTTAATCAGTTGTTAAAAGAGAAACTTCATTTTCATCTCCAAATCGATTAGCTGCTGGAAAGCTGGTGGGGTGTCAGTGATGTTGGCTGGGTAGGGACCTGGGCTGGGACCCCCAGTTCAAGGATTAACTTTCAGTCTCTCATTAACCCCAGCATGATTCAGCCTTTTTACCTTGTGTCCCAGCTGGCTCCCTGCTCTTTTGGGGCTTCCACAAAGGCCTAGGAGAAAGAATCACATCCATCACTCCCCCTCCAGTAGCCTGGCCACTGTCAAGTTTGCTTCCTCCCCTGTGCACATGTCAAATTTATCCAATTAAAGTATTTGATGGGTGTCCTTGTTACCATAAATTTTCTCTATTTTTATTTGTGATGAAATTCAATAAAGAAAAAAAGCCCAAAGTAACAAAACAAAACAAACCCACAAAACCAAACCCCAAAGAGGAAAACTGCTCCCATTCTTGCTGCCTGTGGTGCTAACCCCATGCTGTCAGTCTCAGACTGCAGCACAGCTGAGACAGGAGCTGCCAAAGAGGAAATGCAAGGGAAAAAAAGATGCTTTCATGATCTCCTTTTCTGAGACAGCCCCAGTGCCATAAGTAGAAAGACTCTTTCACTCTCTGTTAGCCCTGTCTCTGTTAGCCCACAGGGCTGAAGGCACCAAATTATCCTGTCTCCTTGCAGAGCCATTGCTCTATTGCTGCAGCGTCACAACCTCCAGTGCTGCTGCTGGCTTGGAAGTGCCACATGTGGGACCCATCTCTACCTGGCTGCCCCTAAACCTGCCTCAGGTCTCTCCTACATGTAGGGCTGTAGACAATCCTTCATTTTTAGCCCTAAAAAGCCACTCAATGCTTTGGCAGTGTTTCAGGCTCATTAGTACATTAGAGCTACCAGCCAGCAGCCCAGGACCAGTGGAGCACAATGGTTAATTAATAGGTTACAAATCATCTTTTAAATGGGCAGTTGATAGAGCTTCAGGGCTTTTAAACTGTCCTTTTATTAACAGAGTTTCCCAGGATGGTGTATCATAAATGACTGTAATCAAGAGACACAAAAGCTGCTTTCAGGGACTAGCACAGAGGAGTCGGACTTGGTGCTTGCAGAGGAGAGGAACCAAACCTGTGGCAGGAGAAACACTTGCTTTTACATTGCAGATGGGAGGGGAAAATAGGCAGAGAGGGTGGCTGGAAAGTCTTTAGCTCCCTTCAGGCAGCACAATTAAGGAGGCAGATTTTTCAAAAGAGTTATAAAAAAAATCCTCTCATGTACTAGTTTCAAAAATCCTGCCCAGTGGGGAATCTGAGCATTAGAAAAACGGCTTTAAGCTCCTACAAAAATCTAATTTCTTCAAGAAGAAATACCAGTTGTGGTGCTGACATGTGCCTGGAGAAGTGGGTACCAAAAGGTTTGTTTAATTCATCTTATAGTCCTTATTTTTAAAAAAATAATGTGTTGAACTAGCCCAGATATATGGAAACTTGTCAAAGCTTCTGGAGAACTGTTAGTACAAACCAGTGCTTGGCTGGATAATGGCATCAGTACTGTCACCACTGCACAGTGACATTAGCTGGGAATATGTGTGCCAGGGAGTCAGAAAGACCCAGTGGCAGAAGGCATTTTTGGATCCCAGGGCTGGTTTGGAGCAGGCTCTGCCCCACCTTGGGCCCCCACCCTGGGCTATTCCGGACTGAGAAACTGAGAAATTTTGGCAGAAAGCTCAGGATAAACAAGCATAATCTTCCTTGACTGCTTCAGGCTTTTGTGTCCTTCTCCTGCTCCGCAGGAACAGTTACACTAGGAATGATAACATCCATGTCATTTTTCTTAATTTTGGGGGCAGAGAGGAGGAAGGAAAAGAAAAACATGTTTTGCTCCCTCTTGGCCTTGGTGTGGGGTAACAGGAGCAGCAGCTCTGGGGCAGCAGGACAACAGGAATTCTGCTCCTGAGCCAGTGCAAGAACCAAGCTGACTGTTCTCTGCACATCTCAGACCTGCTGTCCTGGTACAAAAGAACTACATTTTTGTGGTCTTCTCCATTTTCCACAGTGCCCTCTGAGAAGCAAAAATAGAAGCAGATTAAGGCAAAAGGCAGCTGGCTTGCAGTGAGGGTGTAAAAGGATGAAGGGTTGTGCAGTGCCTCTGTGACTCAGGTTTGTGGTGGGCACTGATGAGATAGCATTGCAAATAGGACAGCCACTGGGATGCAGGGCTCTGGGAGAGCAAAGTTTCCAGATTTCTGCTGGTTAATCTCTCAGTAAATGCTCCATTTGAGACTGCAGAGACTCATTCAATCTCTCACTACAAGGTTCTTCAAACAGGGCTGCCAGAGCAGGTGACTTTGAGTCCAGAGGGAGCATTTTAAGTTTTCACAGCAACATTTTGAAATAAATCCCTAGTGTCATCTTTCACGATATACCCTGAGAAATCCCAGGACAATATAGCTAAAATATTCCTTGTTATTTCCAAGGATCTGTTTGAACAAGCCTCCATCTGTGCTGGAGCTATGAGTCAGTCCAGTGAAGCTGTCATGCACCAAGTGCAATGACAGTCCATGAACTGTATGGCCACACTTCCCATGTGCCTCAGACTTAGCATGTCTGAGAAATCCCCCCAAAATATGTCCCCAGCCCATTCCCTGCATGATTCCATGGGATACATGACAACAAGCTTCAGCAGCATGAGATGCCTTAGGAGATTGGGCAGAGCTGCAGGTATCAAGACTGATATCCCAAGTTTCCCTGTAAAACTAAAGCTGTGTCTGGTGAATGCAGGGAATAAAAGTCCTGTTTCCAGCCTGGGCTGGACCTCACCATGCTGCCACTTTCTGGAAGGGCTGAGCTGGCAGTTTGTGCTCCCACGTTCCTCTTTGTGTTTCAGTTCTGCTGGACACTGCAAAATGGCAGCAGGACAAGCTCAGCCCCCCACAGCCACAGTCCTGTTGCTGTCCAACCGTGAAGGAAGCCTTTCCTGAAAGATCTTTATGCTCTATAGACTGTTTTGTTAAGACCCACTGTAGTCCCACCCTGGCTTCTGGCATGGCTCTGTCTTGATTATTCATCCCATGCGGGGACAGAGAACCCCTGGCTTGGCCCATGTTCGGTGTCTGTAGCTCACTAAGAAATAGAAGCTGATTGTCACCTCCTGCCAGGCTGGGGAATATCTACACCAGATATTCAACTCCAGAGCAGAGCTCACCAATCTGGTGGCAGCATGGGTAAACCCCATGGAAGCAGAGATGGATTGTGGTAGAAGGATGCCATGTTTGCCAGGGACTAAAATCACTCCTAGTTTGACCATGCTGGGTTGTAGCTGCACCTCAGATAGGCTCCCAGATCTTGTACACTGGAATTCTAAAATGGCCAAAATCTGTAAAGGTACTTGAAACTTGGTCTGCCTTGGAAAGAAACAGGACCATGCAGGACACCACTCTGCTTCCAGCCTGGGAGAAGGAGGGATCTTTGAGAATGCTTTTCTCATGCATCCCTTGCTTTCTAATGTATTTTTTTTTCCGCCTCAGTTTGATTTGGGGCCCCAGAAACAATCCTTCCTCTTTTGCTGATCTTTTCTGAGAAGTTTTTATATGTCCTGGTTGGCATAGGTACAGGTCCTGATTCTCCCTGTGAGGAATCCGTGCTTAATCCTTGAAATAATTCCTGTGTGTGTTCTCTTGCAGGGAGAAGAGCGGAGAACAGCAGAGAAGAGGAGATCAGATAGTGAGAGAGGCCCAGAAAGTGAGCACAGCCGGAAGGTGAGTGGAGCCCACGTCCCATTGTGGGGTCCCTTGTCTTGGAAGAGGAAACCAGTAGAATGTGCCTTCCCACCATAGTCCTAAAGGAAGATGACCTTTGAGGTCTCTTGAGACCCAAACCATCCTGTAATTCTGTGAAGAAGCACTGTGCTCTGACACGGCTCCCACTGTTCATCACTCTCAACATCCAAAGCTTTGCTGAGCAGATGACACACCTGGAGCAAGCAGCACTGGAAAGGTGACAAGGACCTGTCTCCACACCTTGTCATGGCTGCTCAAGCCCTTCACACAGCCATGGGGATGTTAGGAAGGGTAACATGCTCACCCCTGTGGCAGCACAGCTTTGGCTGCTTCCTGTCTCAAAACCATTTCCTTGTGGATTGAAAAGCTCAGGCTGTATTAGCTACAGCTCCTCACTTCAGCAGGAGCTGAGTAGGATGGAGGTAAATTAAAGCACAGGCCTTCCCACTGACTGTTTAATGCAAAGCCTGGAGACATGCTGGCTCCCTCGAGCCTGCAGATGCTTTAATTAATGGAGCACAAATAGAATAACCCCACCTCAGTGTGATTCATTAGGAGGACACAGATGGGCTCTTAGACACTAATTCCAGCTGAGCCTCCCAGAGCAGGAAGGGGGAGCACGATAGCCTGTGGTCCAGCTAACCACAGCTACATTGTAATTGAGGTGAGGGACCCACTCCTCCTGCTCCATAGGTTCCCAGCCATTTCTGCCTCTCCCCACAAGAGAGCACAGGCATCAGCCTCAGTCCTTCCCTTGCTTTTGGCTGTATGGATGCATCAGGATCCATCCTGGCAGGACCCACATCCTGGCAGGACCCCCTCATCTCCCTCCTCGGGGACACGGTGTCAGGTCCCCAGCTCCTGCCAGCTGAGGAATGGAGGAGCAATTGGTGCCACCCCAGCTCCGGCCCACGCAGGTGAGTCACCTTGGTAACAGGGCTTTCAGTCCCTTCTTCCTGCTGCTTCTCTCACCCGCAGTGCAAGGCTGAGGAGTTAATTCCTCTTTAGGGAAGGTGTGAGGGTGGCTGGCATGGAAGGACACGTGTATGAGGTGATGAATTATCTGCTGGTAATTAGCACCCCAGGACTCAGCTCTGCTCTAGGCTATTCCCTACACACTGTTGCTTGACAACACACCACAGCCTGTCGGCTCCTGCTTCCACCTCATCCATTAACCTGAGAGCTGGGCTACTTCCCCCCCACATGCTCCATCAACTCTGAATTGTCTTTCCATTAAGCTTTAAATTTTTGAGCAGTGTCAGTCCTTAACCAGTCTGTCATGAGGAGTGATAAACCAAGAGCCTGACAGCAGTGAAGGTGAAGAGCCCCTTTGCTTTGGAAATGTTGCTCTTGAGCACAGGGTTGGCCACAGCTCTGTGACTGTGGGCTCCCGTGGATGCCTGGTGGTCACATAAGGCTGGCTTCCTTCTCTGCCTTCTCTCTGTGAAGGATTTCACAGGCATAACTTTGATTTATGTATCCCAAAGGGGATCAGGCTGGGGGAATTATCATTCAAACCCTGTTGAGAGATGTGGCAAGCACTCCAGGAACTGACTCTGTGCCCTAAGTAAACCTTAGCAAAGGTTCCTGCCTCAGTTTTCCCTTCTGTCGAGCCAAAAAGCCCCACTGTATTTAGGCTTTGGGTAAAGCAGAGTCCTGGTGTGCACACATCACTTCAGAGAAAGGAGCTGACCTTGTCCCAAGTTGTTTTCAAATATTCCTGAGCATTTGTTGTGGTGACAATACAAAATACCCTGAATACAGCTGTTTCAGAGCGTTTTATTAATGAGAAGCTTTTTTTCCTCCACTAGGATGGTGGGAAGCCAGTCCAGAAGAGCCCTGGAGACCTGAGTTTCCCCATGACTGGCCGGGAACGCTCAGAGTACATCCGCTGGAAGAGGGAGCGAGACCAGATTGACCTGGAGCGCCTGGCACGTCACAAGAATGCCAAGGGCGAGTGGCGACGGGCTTGGGATGTGGAGAAATCAGAGCACATGTAGGTCCTTCCCTGTCCCAGGGTGCTTTGCCTGCGGCAGGCCTAAAGCCAGTGGTGGAATCTTGTGCAGATACATATCAATCCCATGCTGTCATGTGCCTAACCAAATCCATACTACTGCCTCTTCCTCCCCAGAGCATGCCCATAAGTGGGATCTGGTATCAGAGTGATTCTCATGTTTTCTTCCTGATACAAGCCCTCCTGAAGGGGGATACCATGTGCTGACAGAGATTGCCTGCCTTTGGTCCAATCAGGATGTGGACTATAGGAGGGAGGGGAACATGAACCAAGGCTCAGTTTGCATCTGGAGGATCCTCTCCATTTCTACACAAACATATCCAGTGGCAGGAGGGTACTCTTCCAGAAATGTGGATGGACGAACTTGCATTGCTAGTCCACAGGTTCTCTAACTGCCCCCTTTTCTTTGTCCTTTTCAAGCACAGGAGAACCCAACATGCCTAAATCCTCCCCACTCCTTAAACTGAGCCTGTTCGGGCACTGCAGGGCAGGGAAATCACTTCAAAAGGCCACCTGTGCCATACAGGGACAAAGCTGAGAACAGCAGTGTGGGACAGCTGGGAATGGGGCTGGACACATCCCTGCCTCAATCACTGCCCCTCTGGCTGTGCTGGTTCAGCTGGGTCACACCAGCTAGAGAACTTTGGAGAATGACTTGGCACCTGTAGCAGGATAAGCTTTGGTAGGGTGCTGTGTTTAGAGACTGTTACAAAGGTTTGGTGATAGAACAGTTTACACAGGACAGATAGGTGGGACAATCCTTTGGCTGAAGAATGGAACCAAACACATCAATTTTCAGTCGCTGATACCCCAAAAATTAGGGGTGAATTGACTTAAGTGGGTGCTGAGTGTTGATGTCAAGACAGCACTCTGAGCCCTGAGCCCTACTGTTTTTCCAAAAATCAATTTTTAAGAGAGAAGCCATAATATAAAACAAGCAGGACTAGAAGCTAACCAAATGGTCTGATTGGAGATGACAAGTCCTGAAGCTACTTAAAATTGTGTTTGAAAGCTTGGGAAGCTGCATTTGACTGTCATACAGCTACCCTACATCTATAGGAGGTTCATAAAATTTAATATATACATATGGGTACTGATGTAAAAGTTTTAGAGGTTGTTCTTTGGGGTAGAACTACCTCACAGCCTCAGTTAGCACATGCAGCTTCAGCTGCTGCTGAGAAACCTGCACAGGTTTGCCTGTGGGCAGGTGCAGAAGGGCCAAAGGCTGGAGCTTGCATCGTGCCAAGGGCTCCTGCCCATGCTTTGCACACTGGAAGAGGATGGTCAGGTCTGACAATGCCTGTTTTTAACCTGCAGGTTTGAAGAGGACTTTGTTAAGGATGGGGAGCCAGCCTTGGATAATCCCAGCAGTAAGAAAGGTTGGCAAGGGACACCTAGATTCTGTCCTGACGCTAGTGAACGCTGGTCGTGCGCATCCCAGTGCCACAGCAGCTGTCGTGGCTGTCAGCTGTGAAGCTCTGCTTTCCTGGGCAAATGCCTCTGAGCTGGGGGCTCAGCCCTTCCTGCTGGGCAGAGGGCTCGGGGGATGGGATTTGAGCAGCTGGGTGCTAGAGCTTTGGACTTTCCCAGGGAGAGCAGTGGCTTTTGTAAGCTGGTACAACACAGTGTGGAGGCACAGCCCTGCCTCCTTTCCCACACACTCGTTTAAGAGGCAGTCCTATTCCAGAGCACATCATCTCTGATCCCTATGGCACATGCTGGCTTCTTTATGAGTGTAAGTCCATCCTGACTCCTGATTCTCAGGAGACGGACTGGCAAAACAAAGCTTTCCCTCATGACACCCTATTTGAACATGAGGCTTTTTGCTGCCTGTCCATTACAGACCCTCACTCACTTTGGTGCATCCTGTGTTGTGTCCTTGCAGGGGGAAGGAATGCAAGGAAATTCCAGCACAGATCTTTTCCTGCAGACGGGAGAGGTGAGTAAACCACAGGATTGTGTTATGTCACCCCATTAAATGCCAGCACCTCTGATATCCCTCAGGGAGAGTGTTCTCTCCAGACACTTGCAGATTTGGAGAGCCTTTTGGAACATACCAAATGGCTGCTCTCATAGCTGTGTGCAGGGGAGAAGTCTTCCAAGAACAGCACAAATAAGACTGCATCCAAGGAATAAGATGTAAAGTTAGAATTGGAATTTGGGATTAAAAAAACCACACAAGAAATTCCTAAATCCCCAAACCCTAAATTCTTGATTTGTCTTTATTACTTTAGAAAATATACATACAGTATGCATACAGCTTCAAAGGCTTCCCACCTCAGAGGTCCTTTCCAAGGATACAAGGGTGTTGCCTGTTCACTGGTCCCTCAGCTGCTTCTGCCTGCTTTTGCATGGCATTTCCAACTTGTTTTCTAGGTGGAGGACATCGTGGAGTGAACGTGAGCGACCCTGGTCCAAAAGCAGTGCCTGCTGTGAGCAGCCGAGCCAAGGGGAAGGACAGACTGACAGGCAGAGCCAGAAGGTGAGGAGCTGGCAGCACTGCTATGGTGGGCACGCCCGTGTCTCACTCCCTGCTGTTGTGAAGGGGCAACCTGTGCCAGGCCTCACCACACTCACATGGAAGCATATCCCATCTAACACTTCCCTCTGTCAGTGGGAAGCCATTGGCCCTTGTCCTGTCACTGCAGGCCCTTGTAAATAGTCTCTCTGACTTCCAAGCTACTTCAAAATAATTTTAGCTTTCAGTATCTGCCTCTGTGTCAGCTGTTGTGGAGACCTGGGATACTTGGGCACTGTCAGGCAAGCAGGACCAGACTGTGGCAGGTATCAACATAAGTGAATTCTATCTTCTTAGTCTGACTAAACTGTCTGTTCTGGCAAATAGAGTTCATATGTTCATTACAATTAGAATTACAACAACCAGTTAATTAGGATTCAGTGGTCTCAAATGATTGTCTCTGGATAGGCCTGGACAAAGGGCTGAGACAAGGAATACATGGCCCTGGAAGGAATTCCTATCTGGGTGTCAGGCAAGAGACACTGGTTTTGTAAGAAGTTCAAGGCCTCATCCTGATTACTTTTTCTTGACAGATGGGATGCAAAAGAAGGCGAGGACATGTCTCTTGTGAAGGATGACCTCGATGGCCAGGTGAGTTCTTGAGTTGCTGGCAGCTGAGTTTTCTAAACACACATTCTATCAGGAAAATTGGAATCTCTAATCCATTCCAGATCTCTGTTTTTGCGTAACTGTACTCGCCACTAACACTCCTTACATGGCCTGGTGTGACAGCAGCTTCACTGCTTACACTGACCCTCTGTCAGCACAACCACCTCACCTGTTCTGGTCCCTGAACATTTCTCCACCTACATCCTTTTGCATCCTGTTTCCTCAGGTTTTCAGAACCATCACAGACAAGAAATACAGTATACTGGTATTTTAATAAGCTGAATTTAATATGTCCTTGGTTTCTCAGAGAAGCCTTGATATGGACAGGCGGAAGAGCAGAGGTGATGAGGGGGTGGAAGAGAACTGCACAGCTGAGCTGGAGGAAAAGGGGAAACAGCCAAGCCTCCAGAATCACGGGGCCTCCTCCTCACAGCAGCTGCAAAGTGGGAAGGTCCAGCCTGCCCAGAATGGCCAGAAGGAGGAGCAGAGGGGAGTGAGGGGCTGGAGCACAGAGGTATCTGTGGCCAGCGCCGGGGACTCCGAGCCAGGGCCCAAGCCAAGCAAGGAAAGTGTTGGGGAAGATGCCAGTGGGAAGCCTGGCACTGCTGACATGTCCCTAGAGAAGGAGAGCACTGACAGCACTGCTTCAGAGAGCAGCCTTCGGAGCACTGTGCAAGGCACCAGGCCTGGCAGCGAGGAGACCTTGTCACTGCCCGTGGGAGTGATTGTAGATGGAGCTGGGTTGGAGAAACAGCCAGCTTCAGAACAGGAGCCCTCTGAGAACTCTTCCAGCAGCCATGGAGGAAATCTCGACACAAGAGCAGGAGACAGATTGGATGCAGACCAAGGACAGCTGGTGAGCAAAGGAGGGGAAGAAGTGACCCAAACCACTGCTCTTGAGGGACAGGCACTTGCACTACAAGAAAGTGAAGATGCTGAAGGCACTGAACACCATGAGCCTTTGGCCCCAGGGAAAGCCAGCTCTGACAAGGCTGTTGTGCCTGAGCAGGACACGGCAAAATCCCAGTCTGGGGAAGGGGACCAACCTGAAGACTGCAAGGACAAGGACAGTGGGGACACTCACAACTAGCAGATTGCACCAGCTTGCCTGAGACATAAGGTGAGTCATCTCATTAATGCTCTCAGCCATAGTACAGAGGGGCACAACTCCATTTTCTGTGGTACAATGGCATCATACCAGATAACTCTTCAGAAATGTTAACTGGCAGTGCCATGGATCTCTAAGGTAATTCAACCTGTGGATCCCAAGGGCCTGTCCTGGAGTGGGTGGGGAAGGAATGCAAACTCAAACAGAAAACTTTAGACAGAAAACTCGGCTGCTGAAGTTGGTTGATGACACACATTAGTTAGGGCACATACTGATCTATTCCTGGGAAGCTATGACCTTAGAAAGGATGGGAGGAATAACCTCAGTGGGATGAGTTTATTTCTGTCTCTGGGGTGATCACAGCTCGAGGTCAGTGTGGTCCTTCCCCAAAACACTTGCAAAGCCACAGGGGTCCCCCTTCATGGGCAGCTTGGGAGAAGGTTAATTGTATGTGGGATTCTCTTCCCAGCAGAAGGTCTATGAGAGCTACACTTTGAATTACAGATGGTAACACTGATGTGCAGGGCAGTGTATAAATACACAGGGTGAGATGATTCCTGGTGCAAAGGCCCACAAACCAAACAGAAGGGAGGGACAACAGAGCCAGTTATGGAGCAATGCTCCAGATTTTACACACTTTTTCTTCCATCAAGGCAAGTGCAAAGCCAGGAGAAGGAACAAAGGATGATAAGCACAAAGTTAAGGTAGAAATTAGGAGGAATGGGAGAGGGTAGAGGTTCTTTGCAAGGTGTGTTTTTTCCAGCAACATCTCACAGAGCAGAATGTCACACTAAACAGAGATGAGCATTTCCAGAATATAATCCAGTTTGCCTAGCATGGGAGTGGCTCTCAGGATACTCCTGCCTCTCTCCTTCACAGAGGCAGCAGCTCTTTTCCATACGTAGGCACTGGAGGCAATGAGCTGCTCAGAGCCAGGTAGGCAGATCCCCCCACCAAGAGCCTTTCCCAGATTCCAGAAGCTTTTCTGCAGAACCTACTCAGCAATGTGTCCCCCGGTGTTGCTCAGTATTCCTCCCAGAGGTACAAATGAGCTTAGGGATGAAGTGGCTAAGCTGCTAACAAAGACTTTCCCTATAATCCAATCCATATAAAAGGCAGGGAGAAGTGCAAGCGTCATAGTGATTTCAAAAAGACAAAACATCAAGAACCAGCAGGAGCTGGTTCTATGTTTGAACTAAAATTCCTTCAAGTGAGGGAAATTAATTCCAACAGCATTTAGAATACTGTTATGAAACACCTGGATGGACATAGTGGGAGATTACTGTCCAGCCACGCCTCTCCAATCTACCAAAATTCCCACCAAATTAGAGGATGAAGGAATTAATGACTACTTTGCTCACTCAGGGTAACTTTAATTAGACACCAACTAAGAGCAAAGAATAAATTAGAGTAGTCCATTTTCATCTCAGCGATGGAGATTCCCATGGTTTGGTAATAGGGCCCTGAGTCCACATCAGAGCTCAGCAGGTATATGTAACAGCTGGAAACATCTGTACTCAGTGATAATGATGCACTGACCCCCTGCCCTGCTAGTGGGACCCATGTCCCACTCACATTAAATGCAGATCTCACATCCCTTCCTGCACAACTGCAGCCCTGTGCACGTGGGTTTCACAGCTCCCCCTCCCAACATCTATTTATGGTACTAAAAATCTCCAGCACCTTCAAATCAGTGGGAGATGCTGTGCAGAGAGTGTGGTGGGGCTTTCATCCTTCGCTTCAAATAACAAGGAATAAATATTTACTCGAAATGCAGGACTGGAATCCCTGGAGAATGTCCAACAAGTCCCAGAGAAGTAAACGATACACAAAAACCACAGAAGCTTTTCCCTGAATTCTCTTGAGAAAATTAATCTTAACATCTTTAGAGAAAATGCAGCTGGGGGTAGATTTCCAGAGCAGCTCCAGGGATCTGACCTTGCAGCACTGGCTGACGTAAACAGGAGTGGGGCAGGCAGGGCCTGAGTGCTGCAGGACGGAGCAGGTCAGCAGAGGTCAGCTCTGATGCAAACCAGTGCCCAAGGTTGGTGCAGGAAACAGCACAAGCAGAAACCAGCACTTCCCAAAACAGTTGCAGAGCTGCAGAAGAACAACGAGCTTCCTTGAGGTTCAGGAGACAGGAAGATACCATCTGCTGGTATGTCTGGGGAGTTGGCCTAGGATTGGCAGGGTCAGGGGCTTGGCTTGAATAGTACTGGCTTCCCTGGTCCTTCCTGCAGCCCACACCATCCTCTGGAGCCCATCCTCATTCCATGGGCATTTTAAATTCCCAGAGCACCTCTGAGTACCACCCTAAGTACCCCCTAAGTGGAGAGCTTAGTCTTTACGCAGAGTCAGGGAGTGGGACTTGACATAGTTGTCTCCATATCTCTGGACTGATGGCACAACATGGGAGCACAGTGTTAACGCTGGAAAACACAGGGATTCTGTGAGAATGGTGCAAGAGACTAAGGACACACAAGGAAGGCTCCAGGGCTGTTGAGAGAATGTTGTTTAGTCTAGGAAAACGAAGGCAGAAAGCAGTGGAATTGTGATCTCTGTAAATATGTGGGTAGTGAACATCAGCAAAGGTGAAGAAAGATCCAAGCCAGAACACAATGCTGGGGTAGGGACCAATGTATTGGAGAAGCCCAGGAATAAATATGGGAAAATTAGGAAATGGTGGGTACCTGTCAGAGCACTTGGATGCTTGCCATGGCTGAATCCTGAGGGCCACTTATTGGAGCTTAATATGTCTAAACAAAACTCAGGGCTCTGATGGGTGAGCTGCTGCCATTCCAAACACTGGGAATGGAGCTGCTCTCATATCCCACAGTTGTTCCTGCTATCTCAGACCTTCATCAGCTATGTTCAGCTGCAGCTTCAGGGAGTTCTGCACATCCCTCCATCACATGGGACCTGACCAGTAGGTCCCACAAGGACCTGCTGTTGGATTGGCTGTGAAGGCCATCCCAGTGACATCCCCCAGCCAGCCAGGCTGGGAGGTGTGAGACAGACAGCAGTGATCTGTGACAGTCCTCTCCTGTGACACTGACACACAGAAGGAATTCTGCCACCACAGAATTCCCACTCTGCTGGCAGAGCCCAGGCAGCACATGGGAGCATTGCTGCCCTGAACCTCAGCTCACAGCCAGCCCGCAGCTGCTCCATCTCCCACTAGCCCTGGAGTTCTTTCTGTATGGGAAAGAGGATACAGTGGGAAATGTGAGAAAGGCTAATCACTCTGGCTAATTACCAAGAGAAGCAATGACTTTAAAGCCCACCAGTGTCTTGGCTGTAAAGACTCATTCATGCATGGGAAGAAGGTATCTGTATTGAAAGGATAATACTCCAAAGTAGGAAAGGGAATTGTCTCCCAGCACTGAAACACGGTCAGAGCCTTCTGAAAGCATCAGTGATCAAATAGATCCACAATAGGAAGAACTTGTGCTGGAGTCAGCTCAGACTCATAAACCACATTACTTTACAATATCTGGATCACCAAGCGTGACTGACAGTCTGCTTCTGGCCCTTCCCAGTCCCATTAAATCTCAGTGTGCTGCCACAGCACTGAGCAGCCCTTGGCAGCGGACACAGCCAGCCTTCGCTGCTGCACACAGACAGGAGAAGGAATTAAGTCTCCAGCAACAATCTCAGCTGTACACAGCATCAGTTGTGTCAGCACCTCGGGTCTGATTTCAGTGCAGTTCCTTACTAAATATCTATGGCTGTGCCTTCAGATGATTCCTTGAGAAGTTTCTTTTTTATGCAAGCCAAGCTTCCTGTGGCCTCTCCTGCCTTTGCAGGATTTAATCTCTTCTTTTTTATATCCCTCTCCCTGACCTTTATTGGGAGCTTTGAGTGCTGAAATCTGCATCAGCAAAAGGCAGATCTACAGATTTAAACATGGATGCAGGAAAATGCCAGCTCAGCAAGTCTGAGCAGCACCCAAGCATCTGGCAAGTAGAAAAGAATAAAAAGTCTGCCTTTCCCAATTAAAACCAGCATGTCTGGGTCTGGAAGCAGCTCTAGGACAGCAGGCTCCACTACAGGATAGTTTTTCATTAGGAAAAGCTAATTCAGCCTCTGCCCTTGGGGTTCATAAATGCTGCACACCCAGGCCAGGTTCACCAGGAAGGATCACAAGGCCCTACGTGAAATCAGCCTCTTCTCTTGGTGTTCCAGGTGCTGAACCAGCACACACAACACATAAGGATTGTTGTTCCTGAGATATAAGGGAAGAGTAAAGTTGATGTATCCCAGAAGAGGACTGAGAGTGTTTAATCCAGACTGGTAGTATTAGCTTGTCCCCTGGGCTGCAGAGCCTTCACTGCTCCTGTCTAATTTGGCAGCAGGTATCTGGGTTATGCCCCAGTGGTGCCTCCCAAGCTGCCCCAGCCGTGCAGGAACGGCAGGGTGGAACTCAGCAGACATTTTAATTTACAGCTCAGCAGTTCCCTAGAGACTGATAATCCCGCGGCTGTCTCTGCTCTCGTTTCACAGGATAACGTGCTGGAGGCAGTGGAGGAGAAGAGGAGCACAAGCTTGTCCTCACACTTTTACCTTCTATGAAATCAGCTTTCAGCACCTGTGCAGTGCCCTTCAGCACCATTCACAACACATGGGGTCCCCATCACCATCCCCCCACACAGTTCTGGCATCCCTCTTCCCTATCCATGTGTCAAAGGACAGGGAAGGGTGCACACAATCCCACCCTACAGAGAAAACACCATCACTTATCTATTTGTTTGGCATATATTGCAGCTGCGTGGCAAGCCAAGGAAATGTCTACTGGATGCACTTTATTTTATTTAATGACTAATTATTTTTAAACTTATGGCTTGGGTTTCTGGGCACACATGCTGTTTTTTCCCCAAAGGCTGGAGGTATGTGCCAGGGGCTGTGCCAGCAACTGGAACAGCAGGAAGAGGTGATTGGCAAAGGAGAGGTGAGGTGCTAGGGTGTAGTTCAATAGGTGGGTGAAGAAGTTGTGTTCAGAGCTCTTGTACTAGAGATTTGCATGTGGATGAAGTGTTGGCAGAGGTGTATGGTAGTGGCAGGGGCTGCGGGGCATGAACAGGATGTATGGATGGATGGAGCGCTTCTGATAAGCACAGATCAACCCAGCACCTCCTCCTTGAAGAGCTTCCAGCTGTCCTCCCCTTTTAGAAGCTGAGGAGCATATCAGGACAGTGCTTTGTGCCAAGGAAGGTGGCTGCTTGGGTGACCAGGTGTGTGCAAAACTCGGCAAACTCCATGCCCCCTTCCCAAATGTAACTGGGCATCCCTGCAGCACAGCAAGGAGGGGGATAGCACAATAATCTTCCTCTCCCACCACACTGCCCAAAGCAGTTGGCAGCAGGACCCAGGCTAAACTGGAGCTGGAGGTCCAAGACTTTGTATTAAACATTTTCACCTTCCTGGTTGTGCCTTCCATAACCTTGTGTTTCATTAAGAGAGCAGAAATCCTCTCTAAGCTGCCCTGCAGACCTTCTGACCTGGCCTTAAAGATACCTTTCAAATGGAGGATCTGGAGGAGCTTTACAAGCACAAACATGCAGGAATTCCAGCTGCTTGTCTTTCCAGTTACAACAAGCTAGGACCCAGCTGGAATACCACTAGCACTTAAGGAGCAGGCACAAGGAATAACACAACATAATCTCTGATTTCTGAATGACAGGGCAGATTGGGCATCACCCTCACTTCAAGGCTGCTCTAAAATGTGATGCCAGAGTAAACGTCCCTGGGACAGGTATATGTGGAAACTGCCTGGAATGTCCTGCAGGATGTTGGCTGACCACGCTGGCAGACTGCCCTGGAGATCAGGTTGGCACGTGTGGACTGAAATACTCTATGCTGCTTTAATAAACTAATATTTGCACAGACAAACATTTGTTTTCCCACGTGACTTAGACCCGTGACACCTATCATGAAGCACAAGCCTGGGAATTTCCTCCATGTGCCAAATTTAGGAGACTTTACTGGCATCACACCAGGTATTATCAAGAAACAGAGCATGCAGCTTTTGTGTTTTATCAGTAGAAACATCTCCACCCCACCAGAGCCTGAGTTTATTTGGACTTATCCAACAGATAAAAGAACAGATAAATAGAAGATTGTAAAACTGCTCCAGGTCCTGGAGCTTCTCCATCACTGTTAAAGGCTGATTTTCCTTATCTGACTGGCTAAAAAACCTGCTTGCAACTGTTTAGTTTTAAAATTCATTATTATTTTGTACATCAGGTCTCTGACCTGACTCTTGGTCCAGTCAGACTGAGTCATTACCAGCATTTCCCAGGAGCCAGCTTGCCTCATGGTCCATGGAACACACAGTCTCAGCTCAAGAGCTGTTGCGCCCCAGGAACAGTTGGACACATGGCCAGGCAGGAATTTTACATTGCCCTGGTCCAGCACTGTGTTGAAGAGATAAAAAACCTTACTGCCCTAGACTCCATTCTGAAAGGAAAACCATCACTGGTCCCCCATTCCCTCCTTTTTTTTCCTTTCTTCCAAGTGACTTTGCAGGTAATGATGCCCAGGAAGAACTGAACCTGATCCAGGCTCTGGGAATGGGACTGGACAGCTTGTGCCTGTTCTAAGTGTATTTTTCCCTGCTCATTAACACTTTGCTCAATGCACTTTGTTTGGTGCCTGGGTTGTGATTTTTTCAGACAACTGTGGCTTAGCTCTTTCTTCTTTATGGTGAGAGAAAAAACTGAAAAGTTGACAAATCTGATGTAGAGGGATTATTTATATAAAATAAAAGTTGGAATGAGGAAAAACCTCCTGTTTCTTACTATTTCTCAGTTCCACATGTAGAGATTTCCAATCAGAATCAGTAAGCTCTGTTTTTTAGAGCAACAGCTCTATTTCAGAGCACCAATTCCTTTGGGAAGCATGAACTCCTGGGCTACCTCAGCTTCTTCACCACAAAAGTTCCCTGCATCAAGGCCAGGAAGATGAGGATCACTTTTTCATTGAGGCATCAGAGCCACCACCTCATCACCAATGCACTTTTCTTACAAGCAAATGTAAGGGCAGCTCACAGAGTTCAGAGCCACCTGTCTGCACAGGACGTTTTCATTCCCAGCAGTGGCTGGTAGCTAAGGGATTTGGTGGAAGTTGTCTAGCTTTTCCAGACACAAGGGAAGCAGCAGCACTCACAGGCAGAATGCTTTTCCCTTCAAACCAAAGCATGAGCTGGCCATTAGACAGTGTTATTTTCCTTAAAAATTTAGCCATCAGTTTCAATGCAGCAACTCTGTAGCTAAAACTATCAGAATTTATCTCAGACTAGTGAGTCAGCTCTTGCATAAAGAAGGTAATTTAAGAAACTTCAAGCCAAGGACAAAAATACATTTGGATAAAGTTGGAGATACTTGTTTCCAAAGCAATTACTGAAGGAAGCAAGAACACAAAATCCTGAGAGCAGTTCAGCTCTCCATTCCTACCTCAAAAAGTCCAATACCTGCAGCAGGAGCATACACAAGGCCACTAACCAATAAAGCCCAATACAGAGTCTCTAGATATAAAAATACAGAAAATTTCACTGTTTTTCCACAACAATCTCCCTCCAGATAAACTGGTTGCAAGTGGCAGAGGACACTGGCACTTAACTATCAATTTTGTATTTTAAATACATAATACAGTAATTTGTGCATTTCAAGTCAATGGGAGGCCCAGAGCAACAGAAGGATACAGCACTGCTGGGAAGTTCAGGACATTGCCTGCTGCCTTCCCTGGAAAGGTTGTACAGCAACAGCTTAACCAGCTCCCAGGCTCTGTAGCATTGGCAGGCAACACTGGGAAGTCCGTGGCTGATTCCTGCTCACATCATCCCAGTGCAGTGACACAGCACCTGGCCAGCTTTCCCAAAACTGCCTCTGAACACCTGTGGAACAGCAGCACAAGCCAAGATTCATCCCCTTAGCTTCATGCTCCAGCTTGGCTATGGCTGTTTCTTACACCATTCCCCTCTCTGTGTGCTCCAGCAGCTCCAGGACTCGGAGCCAGCCATTGGTAACACCCCCCTGAACAGCCCACTGAGATCAGCTTTGACTTCTCTGGGGGAAATCCCCAATGCCCAGAAGCAGCCACTGATTTTGTTATCATGACTACACCACACAACTGCTTTTCAGCTACGCTCAGGGATTAAGCCAAGATTCCCTGTCAGAAATACTGCACAGGAATCTGGGATTAAGATGATGTGCATTGCATCAGATGAGCCCGCAAGAGAACGAGCATGAGGAAGAAAGAGCTTTTGGAGATGGAAACGTGAGCCAGCTGCTGAAGCAGATTACATGCTCCAGTAACTCTTTTTCCTGCTATTTCCCTTCCTTCTGGTCCCTTTGCATTGCACGTGAGTTACACTAAATGCTGTCCTTGGACACACTGGGCTCATTAGGACAAGACCAGTATGCACAGGCAGAGGGCAGGTATTGGATGTCTACCACAGAAGCAAAAAGCTTTAAGGTATTTCACTCATATTTGAGTATTTCCTTCATTCAACTGACTTCCAGACATCTTCCTTCCTCACCAACATGCACACATGGGAACGTGGCACAGCTCTGTTGGTGGATGACACACGGGATAGCAGCTGTGTGAAGGGAATAACTCTATCAAGGAATTCCAAGGAATCAGCATCTTGAATCACAGGGTTACAGTCATTTCTACCTAGGAAGCAACACACAACCCTGTGTCTTGTCGTGCCTGATACAATCACACTAAACGAACCTGTTTTTTTTTGTTTTGTTTTGTTTTTTTTGTGGGTTTTTTTTTTTTTTTTTTTTTTTAGGAGCAATGAAGGGAAAGGGTGAACTGGAGCTGAAGTAACACAACAGACGACACAACCATCTGCCTTTTAAAACTCGGCTTTACCCCAGACTGGTGACTGCACCATTTTAGTGCACTAAAGCAATTCTGCTGAGATGCAGATGACTGTCTCAGTACAAGGATAGCAACATAATGCAAAAAGTCCCAGTCCAAGTATCTGTTGCAGCCAATCTACTTCCCAAGAAATCCCTAGTGCCCTGAATTTTAAGTTAGCTTACACCTAGAAACCAGTCCAGATGAGCCATTTTTGTTACTAGAGTATTTGCAGAGTACACTTAGTCACCGATTTCTTCGACAGTCTGTCATTATGAGAGTAAGAAGCACAGCAATGGGCTTATTCACAGGCTGGCAACAGCATCCCAATGGGAACACATCTGCCTCCAGAGGGCTATGACTCCTGGCTAGGAAAAGGATGGGGAAAAGATTGTAGCTGAAGAATATGGGTCCAGAAGATTTGGAAAACCAGGCTGCTGCAATCACCAAAGCTTCCTGGCCATTAGGCCAGTAGCCCACAACTCTTCTGCATCTCCCCCAGGCAGCTTCCCCTCGCTCGCACACTCAGTACAACCAGAGTGAAGCCCCAGGATGCTCCAAAGCCAGTTGTAATAGGTACAGAAATAGCAGCATTTCACTGAAATCTGTTTGTCAGTAGAGGAGAAGATGCAAAAACACAGTCTGGGAACTCACCAAGCCTGCACTTTCCTACAGGAATGCAGACAGCCACAGCCATCCTCGTACTGGCTCATCAACTATTTTTAGCACCAAAAGGGGAGGCAGCCATCAGTGAAGGGCCTGTTCCCTTTGATCCAGTGTATCTGAGCACTGTCTCTGTCCCAGAGATCCTTTGCTACCAAAACCACAAACCAGGTAAAGAACTTTAGGTTGTTCCTGCTCCCAAGTACAAGGTGTCTCTCAGTAGTTACATGACAGGTTGGAAGAGGGCCACACAGCCCATTTCATTCCATTCACTTCCTCTCCCCTCTACACCACGACAGCCAGGCTCTATTAGTCTTCTGAGAGCAACTGTAGTTAAAGTGAAGGATGCTAGGAAGCCCTGGGCACTCAGCACACATTGGATGCACCGTTTGGAGCTGCTAGAGTCACCAGCTCCAAGCTGCAGGCTAGCAGCAGAGAAATCCCAGCATCCATGTCATTGCACGCAGCTTTATTTATGTCCAAGGTTTTACAAGTTAAACACAAGCTCTTTCTCAAGAGACACTTCCCAACTGGTTCTGCATTACCACCCGAGACGAGAAGAAAACTAAACTCAACTGGCACCTACAATGAGCTTGGTTTCTCTATCATTCATCCCTCCCTTGGGAAGCTGCAGGAACTTTCCCCCGCAATCAAAGGTGTACCCCAAGGCCAGTAAATGGCATTGCTGTCACCAGGACTCAGAACTGCTGTGGCGTGAGCAGCCCCACAGAGAGGGATCAACACGCTACAGGCAGAACCACCAAAGAAACACAATCCCCCACTCACAGAACAGACACCCGTGGGGCCCGGAGCCGGTGGGACACGCAGCCTTCCCCCCGCAGATGAACAGGGAGAAAAGAGAAGCAGCTCGGCAGGTGACAGCTGCAGGGCACCCGTGTGCTGACAAAGTACTTCCAGCTCTTCCACCTGCCCCGCAGGAGGGTGGCAGTGATCCCATGATTTTGGCTAAAGTGACTAAGCGGGATCATTTGTCCTTCCCACCAGCTTTTTGTTCCAACAACACAAAGCATTCCTGCACACTCCCCAGAAAACTGGAAAGGAGGGTGAAAAGAAGATCACAAACCACTCTCCTTTTACCTGATTTCTCCCTGCAAGCCCTCTGCTCCTGGTTCTATCTTTCACAGATGGTATAAAGGTAATGCCTAGCTGATGAGGCAGCCTTAACAAACCACCACAGTCCCAAACTCCGATTTTTATATGAAACAGCTCTTTTCAAGCAGCAAGTGCTGTATTTTATGGTACCTTTGTGATCTGCACAACTGAAATGCGTGAGCCACGTTACACCACATTTGCATCCCTCAGCAGAAGGAATCAGAACTGCTGTGATTCTTTCATAGGGATGCAGCACAGCCTGGCAGCCTCACAGATTCAGCTGAATCCATCCATCTGGAAGCAGCAGCTTGGAACAACATGGCTCTTACGGTTTCCTAGTTTATATCCCACATCCCAGAGTCATTAAAGGCCATTTTTTCACTCTGCTCATCAAGGAATAGAAGATTTCTGAGGACCACAGGGCAGGAAACCACGGAGCTGAGAGGACAGCCTTCCCAGGACTCACCAGGAGCTGCCTGGGCCAGGCCTACCCTGATTCTGCATGCCCCAGAGGTGCGGGAACGATCTGTAAGTGCTGCCGTCCCTCACAGGCAGCAGCACGAGGGCACAACTGCGCCGCAGCTCAGAGCCCAGCAGCACCCACCGCCACAGCTCCATCTGCTCTGCCAGCACAGACCAAACCTTTCCAGCACCACCGCTTCGCTTCCACAATTAGCCACGTACAGAGGTTTCTCCAGCCTCACCTATGGAGACCAGTGACAAATGAATCAACATCAGATACCACAGTTGCCCATTGCAGTGGCCAAATTTTTGCTACTCAGACCCTTCCAGCTCAGCATTCCTCCTCCCACCACCGAAGAGAACATACTTTGTTACAGAGACTTTCATATTGGGAAAATATTTTAATATAGTAAACAAGTCAATTTACCTTCCACATATTTTAAATAAGTTTATGCTCATCGTTAAACAAAACTGTTTTTACTTCAACAATGGATTACAGCCTCTAAATTCGTATTGTTCCCAGCTGATCCTGTAAATAGCGAGGAATTTTGGACACCGATATCCTTGTATAGGTAACAGACTGGCATAAACAGCGCAGGAATTCAATGCGGGTTCAAAGGGAGAAGCTAGCCCTGGTGAGGAAGAAAACGAAGCCACAGAATTCCCTTTTGAGGAAAAA